AAGATTCATTCATTTCACAGTAATGCAGAGCTGCGCGATTGACGTCACACATATAGATTATTTTTAATTTGTTGCTTATTTATTATATTTTTTGTGTTCTTAGCATAAAGTTCAATTTATCAATGCACGACGAGAGCTGGAGTGCGCGAGGAGTGGTGACGAATTGTGAAGCTTGCCACCGACATGGCGACTACGACCAGTCTGCCAAGAGTGTGACGACTAGAAAAAAGAATTAGTTCGCCTCTTATTTTATTCAACAAAAACGGACGTGATGTGTGTGCCGAAGAATGTTTTTGGAGCAAACATATTTATGTATTTATGTACTATCTTTATATGTAAGACCTTATTATGTAAACTACCTATGTTTAACAAATAAATGATTCTGATTCTGATTCTGTACATCTGCTACATTTGTAGTGTCACTGTAGAGGTATAGCTTCTACCAGCGACTTCGTACGCGCAGTCCCGTTTTCTCCCGTTCCCGTAGGGTTTTCAGGATTTTTTTTCTGTCGTAAGAACCTTCTCCTGACAATAACAAACACAACAATAACTCCAGAACGCACGAACTGATTTCCACGGTTTTGAATTTGTTGGAAAGGTCTCGGGTGAGGTTTATAGCAAAGAAAATTCACTTTTAATCACCAAACGAAATGTTACATAAAACGAATCCATCTATTTGGTGGCGAAACGGAGTTCGCCAGATTTGTTACTTTTCTATAAGATTGTGCCATAGATGTTTCCTTAGCTTAAGCTTAAGCATTTCTTTAGTTTCCTTTTTCTTGTATAGAAGTACTTTTTGATGTGAGCATCATGTTAGACTATAATATTTTTGTATTGTTTTGTAATTAGTATAATGCGTCAAGCGTGTCTTTGCATTGTTCTCACATATACGTACAATATTGGATAATGTATCAGAATTATTGTTACATGTTTTTTTAAATAGTAACGAATGGAGTTTGATCCTCGTTCTTCTCCATTCGAATCTATGTTTTGGAATGACTAATGAGCGCCTAACTTCACTGACGGACAGACATGTACCTCTATATAGAGGTATAAATGACAGACTATTATTTATTTTGTATTTGTTGACGTTTCAAAAGCACCGAATTATGGTTTAATTGACTGACTTTGACTTTGATTAAAGAACGGCTTCAAGTAAAACACGTTAGGTGAAGTTCGTGCGTAATTTATTTATTGTTGCGGAGTTTATCCTTTTTAAACCGCCCATTAAGATGATAAAGGAGAATTACTTTTTTCCGGTTAACCTTTTGATACCTTCCGATTGTCAACTTTGACACGCGTACACGGATGTAGAGTGAAAGGTTAAAACTTAAATGATGCTTTGTAATGCAAAGGTCGGTATAAAAATCACACCTTTAAACTATCAAACACCAAGCGGTCACCAGTGACCGCAACCTATTGTTCTATAATTGTGTCTATAATGACGGTACTCGACGAGTTAATAGGTAATTAAAAATCGAATTAGTTCGTAAGTTAGGTAATGAAAAAACATTAGACACGTATTTTTTTATTTTCTCGTATAATAAAATTATACTTAGATAAAACGAATCAAAGTTTAGGAGAGGGGGCTAAAACGTCATTTCTTTTTCTACGTATAAAATTTACATAGAAGTGACGTCACATGACATTTGAAATCAATATATCGTCGAAAGTATTCGTTTCTGTAAAAAGTAAAAATACGTGCGTAATGATTTAAAATAATCTACCAGACGGACATTAAAATAAAAATTAGTCATCTACCCTATTAGCAAAAGAATTGAGTCAGTTAGGTTCTATGTTACGAGTCCTACCTATGGGTCACTAAGTTTCGGTCGTAATTTTAAACCAATAGAGGATGCTTGATGTTTCAAAGTTACCTAATGTTTATTAAATGGACTATGGGATTTTAGTCATAGGATATGTATTTTGATATTTTACTTATTAGTTGCTATTTGGTTGTGACCTAAGTATCAGAAGATTCGAGGTTTTGAGACGAGCAGAGAGCGAAGTCTCCGTTATTTCCCGTAAGGGGTTTCTGTTAATCGAGCAATTCGAACACGGAGATCCCAAGAGATATTTTTCCGATTCATATAACTCTTATTATAATATCGGTCACAACTCCAGAAGGCCTTACCTTACCTTCAAAAAATGTTTCTTAAATAGTTTCAAGTATTTTGCAAACATTGTCAATCTAACTTAAGTAGAGTTTCGTTATCCAAGATTGGTGTTATGATAAATAGAATGTGTTTGTCTATTCAAGCTCAGATAATGCCAGGACAGCACGGGTCAAGGCTAGAAATTTTTATACCTATTACAATATTTATACTGTGTTCTATAAGATTGCATTAGTCTACAGAAATATTCGATTAAAGGCGCCTCAATTAGATTAAGCAACTGAGCAAGCGGTATTATAGTACATAAGAATGCAAGGTATTTTTGACTGTCTCGTTGGCTGAGTGGTCGCAAGTGCGATTGCTGGGCAAGGGGTCTCGGGTTCGATTCGGCAAAGTAATACTGGGTTTTTTAAAATCTCAGTAGTAGTAGTACGGAGTCTGGAAATGTGCCCGGTATATGGCAATAGGCCCCCTATTACATGGTACAGCGGCATTAAGTGCCGTAATGTGCACCTCTGCCTACCCCTTCGTGGATAAAAGGCGTGATGTTATGTTAAGTTATGTATTTTGGACGTAGGTATGGTTTGGTTTCAATGGCATTGTGATCTGGTTGCAAAGAGATTAGATGCATCACGAACAGACTAACATGCGTTACAATTAGTTCCACGGGGTTTAAGCTCCTTTGAATTTTCAGAAGTCTATTAATGGAGATTTTTATTACAGATCCCATTAGCTTGTATTTAATATTGTAAAGCTGAAGATAAATATTGGAATCGTGCCCGGTATATAATAATAGGATCGTCCCCTATTACATGGAATTGTTCACATAAATAGTGAAATGAGGGTGTTACATTGTACAGTGGCATTAAGTGGTGTAATGTGTACCTCTGCCTACCCCTTCGGGGATATAAGGTGTGATATTATATAAAGAAAAATTAGTTTGTTGGCTACAGGCTATAAAACATCACGCTACGATTGACAGCAGCCGAGCAGCAGGCGAAACCACGTGAAAGCAACTAGTATTACCTATAGACAATATCGGCTGTGAAACTCAAATAAACTCATATTTATTATAATTTCACAAATTCATATAGTTAAGCTTCTTACTTGAACATGTAATTAGACAGTTGTACGTGGTTGTATACCCTCGGGCAAACTTTAAATTTTCGATATTTACATTGCAAGACCCGCAAAATATTTCCCCACAACATTTTTCATTAGTTATCAATGGTGTTGCAACAATAAAATTATTCATGAACGATGCACAAATTAACCTTTCAAAAGCAGCACTTGAAATAATAATAGATTTGTACGTACGATAGGTAGATAATGTATTATTTTCGTTTATTATTTTTGTTGCAACATAACATTCATGTCCATTCATTCAATGTTTTCGTTTACACACTCCGTAATTTCAATTATTTTGAACATTACCACAGCACTACTATACACTTGCTATTTAGGGTTGCAACATAAATAAATTGTTTGTTATTGTTTTTTTATTTTATGTATGTACTACTGATGCATTTTTATTTATCCATTAACCTTTGTAACAATACGAATGGAAAAGATTGCGTTGATAGTTTGCCTTATTATCACAAGTTATGATTCCCATGTAAAGGGTATATAAGCGTATTTAATTTTCATGAAACTTGAAAGCAGCCCTGATAAATACTTTTCCTGGAATTTTCATTCGAACTAGATACTCCTTACTCGGCAGCTGCGCTTGTGAGTACTCAGCCAATGATGCAGACAGATAAAATAACATTAATTATTATTTTTCTGTTTCTAAACTATAAATCGATCTTGTACCATTCTCAAAATATTGAACTGAATCATTTAAATTGGAGGATATTATTTAGATCGAGTTCACAATCGCGGAAGGTCTGCTAATCGACACGTGTGCCAACGGAAAACTGCGCATGCGCATCCAGGATAGCAGGCGCGCACGAGTTTCTCCCAAATGGTGCAACGACGGAATATACTCATCACGGCTGTTGTTAGTCGGTTTTACATTTTATTTTATTTTTATTTTTGGCATACAAAATTAAATAATTATATTAATTAGGAAAATAATTGATTTAGTTGAAGAACATGGAAATTTCAATTTTTGGTTATTATTCTATTGAAATTATTTTTATGAAATGTTAAATATCAGTTTGAAAGTTAATAAATAATGTTTGTATTTTGTAGACTCATTTATATTGGTGTTTTAAACGAGATAAATAGAGGGGAACATGCTGTTGCATGAAATAAAACTC